TCACAGACAAATTTAGTGTCATGTCATAACCGAGGTGCACTGGGGTTTGTGAGAGGAACAGTTTTAGAGAAATAACTAACTTGGTACATGTGGAGAAAAGAGGTGTGCTGTTGTCTAATATTTTCCTGTGGTTTGTACCACTAGTTTGAATCTTCCTGCATCTGTTGCAAACCCAAGGAAATCATTTTATGTCAGAAAGATTTATCTTTTTTTTCCTTTGACTGCTACTATAAATGCAGCATAGACAAAATGATGATTTTTGTAATGTATTATCTTCCACTGAGACATACTCCAGGAACTGTCAAATGCTGTTGTGACTTTTCAGCACTAGAATTCCATAATCCTACATACCTTATGATTTAGTCACAAGTAGAGTTTTCAAAAGAAGATAAACACCATGAGGAGTTAATTTTCTATTTTTGTAAATGCTTGTCTTTATTTTGGATTCTGATGTTTTAGGTTTTCTTAGCTTAATCTCTAACAGTGAGTTTGCACAGCCTTACTTCTGAGAGACCATTTTGCATCTTTGGTAAGAGTGTGCCAAGTGAATGAATAAGGTGGTGCAAATACATATATTAAAGAGAGATGGTAACTCATTGTTTGGCACTGAGATAGTGGTATTTGACAATTTACGTGTGTTGTAATAGCCACATTAGTAGTTTTGCTCAAAAGCTGTTGCAGTTTTCAGTGTATTTTCCTTATGATATGGGAAGATCAGTCTGGAATGTAGCCCATGTTATGAAAGTGCAGATTTGTGTTTGCTCAGAAAAGCAGTGATCTATTTCATTTTTCTTTCCCAAAACCATCAGAGGTGGCTGAGACAATTCAGGCAACAATAAAATCTATGAATAGGAAATATAACGGTTATTTTGTAATGTGTAAAAATTTGTTTTACAAAACTCGGAACTGATAATACAGGGATACAAAACTGTGAGTAGCTCAGAACAGATTGTTTAATCTTTGCAAGTACATGTTTAAATGTGCAAAATTTTTTTACTATATTTTAATTCATTTTTATCCATGAAGTGTCTGAACAGCAACCAACGTAAGATCCTTCCATTTGGTCCTTCAGAAGTGGCACTCTGCCCTTACTGATTTGAATGCTCTGCAATACCTCCCACGTACCGACACTGCCGAATCTTTTAGAACGGCGTGCAGGGGCCCTATCTGCAGCACTGAGATACCCAGGACTCTAGACCAGGGGTGCACAGTTTGGAAAAAGTCAGGAGAATAGGACTCTTGCAGGTAATATGCCACAGCAGATTAAATTGTACTGCATGAGACTTCTTTTTTCCAGGGACCTCTGTTGGTTGGGCTGTAGTGTCCAGGCTGTAGTGTCATCCACAGGATTTTTGTCTTTCCTTAACATTTCTGTGGGTTCATTTTGGTGGGTTTTGTAACCAAGCTAAGTCACTAGAGAAGTAAGTGCATCTTAATGGGGGTATTTCATTGTTTGTAATTAAAAGTCTTAGTCATAATTTGTAAAACAGGAGTTAATGAAGGGCTGAATGGTGTAGTGTAAGGTGGTCTCTTCTGCTGAAGCCCTCTTTCAGGCATTCTCAGCCTGATTTCTGCCTACCTAGTTAATATCACTGACTGCGCTAGACTTCCGATTTACACCAGGGTGAGTATATAAAAACCTCTGGGGCATTCCAGACACATGTTCAAAAAGTAATACCTGCCTTTTTTAGAGCAATGGACTAACACCTTAGACTGTGAAAGGTTCACGCTTTGGATCCTCTGTTGTTACAGTATCAAAATTTCTGTTTTATCCCTGTTTGCCTGTTTGCTTGAAGGGTTTATTCTGATGGTGATTAACCTCCATGTATTCACATAATCAGACATGTGTGAACTAATAAAATTCAAAATGTGATATTAAATTGCTGGAGGCAACAAAAGCTCAACATGACATGATGTAAAGACACGAATATTCAAATCAGAATACAAAAGAAAGCAAAACTGTTAATATAATTCTACTACACTTTCAAACTTTTGATAAAGACACTGTTTGACTGTCTTGTATCAGACAATTTAATTCAAAGGTGTACATGAAATGAACTTAAAGGATTGGACTCTAAAAGATTAAAATGAAAATATTTTAGGAATATTTCAGGTTTTAAAATCTTTGCAGTATTCTTTGAAATGATTGGTTTCCAAGGGAACAATATGCAGAGCTATAAATCTCTTTAATATTAGCATATCACAGGTAAAGAATCCCCATTCCCTGGCAGTGTTCATCTTTTTTCATTTTTTTTTTTTTGTTTGTTGGAAAAGTCTTACATTCATTTTTCATTTTTTCCTCATCCTTCACAGTTTCATGTAATTTCATGTCCTTGTGGTATTAAGGGAACTCTTGACAAAAATAGTACATGTGACACATTTCTAAGCATTATTGATACATCAATAGAAAATAAGAAATGTTTGAGGGATTTCTTTTTGAACAGAAAGTAAGTCACAGGCTGCGCCATGTTGAATTACTATTTCCTCAGGTGCCATCCTGGCTGGAACAACTCTATCTACACAAGGTTTTTCAATTCTGTTTAGTTTTTCAGAAACAAACATAAATCCAGTCAGAGGGGGGGAAAAAAAGGGAAGAAAAGATTAATGGGAATTTTGACTTTGCTTACAAAGCAAATCCACATGGTAAAAATTCTCACTAAGAATTTAAAGTCCAGCTCTCCAAAGCTTTTCTGAGTGGTGTAAAAGTATCGAGATATTGTGCTCTGCTAACCTGTAAAACACAGCCTCACCTCTGTGGGAGCTCTACATAAATTCCTGTTGGCGGTACTGGGGATCTTTCTATGGTAAATGAATAACCAGGCACTGTACTTGGGAATGTTTTATTGGAAGTGTGGAGAAGTAAACTCAGCAAGCTCTGTGTGTTACATACACTACAGTATTACCAACCCATCACCTTAGTGGGAATGGTTTGGGGGTCTCGGTATAAACAACTGTTGTAGAATTTCTGGAATGAAACAGGCATTTTTTATGAAGTGCTGAATATCCATCATTTTAAAAATCAGATCCTTCATGATACATGTTTTTTACCACAGACAAACTCACTGTTTGTAAAATCTAGATGATGGGCCTGAACAAAAATGAATATTAACTTTTATTGTGTGCTTTTTCACACTGTATTTTACAGTGGTATTTGTTGAGTTAGACAATGGTAAATGAATGAGGGTTCATTAGGGTCTTATTTGTTGAATTTCAACAACTGTTTGTGATCTTAATGAAATAAAATGTTTAAATTATTAGAGTTTTAGCAAAATAAGTTCATTTTAGAGGCAACTTCATTAACTTCCATAGCAGTGATCTCAACAGAGTTCAGTTTGACTTACTAAATGTATTATTATTTTATGAGGAAGTTAATAAGAAATGCACATTAAAGATGCTTCTTTTATAGTTAGAGGGGGAAGAAGAACTCCAAGTATGAATTTTAACTTTTCTGATCATTGGAAGGATTTGTCCTGGATTTGGTAGTTAATTAGGCACTAACTGCTTATTTAGATAGGTTAGATACAGTGTATGTTGGAAGGTACATGTTTCTCTGTTGGCTGGTTTTATTAGTCTGAAATATTTAGCAATATCAGATAGGAAAAAAATACAAACATGTCATGTCCAGTTCTTACCTATTGCACTGAACTTTTGAGGACTATTTAAGAGTATGTTCATCAAGATTGTTAGATGAATACTTAAGATCCTAGAAGAAAAAGGGCCAAGTTACACGGTCATTTTGGCAATCCTATAGTTAAAGTAAGTGCAATAAGAAAGCTCTCATCAAATCAGTAGTAACTCAGCTCGCTAATAACAAGAACAGATATTAGAAAGGGATAGTTTGTTACTGACTTGCTGTGCTGTAAAGAAAAGCATGTTTTTACTAGTTAAAAAAAAAATACTTCTTTTAATAGAAGTTAAAAGTAAAATATTTTTTTAGATCAAAAAAGAATGACCGATTAAAGAAGGTGTATTAAACATACAATTTTGGGGTGCATTAAGCAATTAAAATATGATGCAGTTTTTTGTTATAGTGACATTGTCATGTTCATAGTTCCTAGGTGAGCCAAAATGAGCAAAAAATGTTCCTTCCTTTCCTCATTCTATTATCAAAAAAAAGCCCTTCTAAAAATACTTCATTACTGAAACAGAAAAGATAACAAAGCAGAATAGCAAAGCAATTAGCTTACTGATAATATTTAAGCAGTGTTCTTTTTGCTGATTATATTATTTTGAAGTTTCCCACCTGTTGAACTCAATAGAAATTACTTCTTGCAATCACTGAAGTTTAGAAAAGCCTCTTTCCCGTAAATTCATTACCAGGCAGTGGGGAGGATTGTGTATGTGTGGAAGGCTGGGGAGATTCATGCATATAATTCTGTAAAACAAAATCAATAAAGCTGATGACAGATTAAGTTGCTAAATTTTGTAAAACAAGACTTCTGTTTGGGTCATCAGCACAGCACTATTGGATTTTCTATGGTTTAATGCTGAAAAACAGGATTATTGATTTTAGGATTTTCAGCGTATCCCCTCTGGGAGTTCTTAAGCAGTCTTTATAATTCTTCACACTTAAGTTGACAACTACAGTGACATAACTGTGTCCTCGCCTTAGTAATCGTTTTCTAATCATATTGGAAAAGGCTGGAAATGGTTTATAAAATGATTATTCCAGACAAACGGGGGAACAGGAGGGTTGTCAGGATGTCGCTTCTTTGTCTGGTGGTCATTGCTACCTGACTGCCATCTTCCCTTGGAATTAACTTACAGTCACAGATTAAGACCTTTGACTGTCATAAATCTGCTTCCCAATATGTTTGACTGGCAGGGGAGTTCACAAGCCGTCCCAATATAAATAGGATTTTAGCACATCAGGTGCTGCTCCGAAGTAAAACGGGCTGTTTTGCAGTCGACTTTGTTGGTGTATATTCATTGCTCCTCTCCCGATCCATGTGTATGCATGCCTGCGTGTGTATGCATGTGTGTGTGTACGTAAAGTAGAAGCTGAGATAGGCTAACAAAATGAACTACTGTATGCAAGAAATATATGAAGTGCACCCAGCTGCTGGTAGCAATTGCTACATGCAGTCCACTGATTATTGCACATATATCGAAGATAATCAGGGTTACAGCAGTTGTGATGCTCAGGTCCTGCACAGTAACAACATATATATGGAACAGGCCTGGGCGGTGAATCAGCCTTATACCTGTAGTTACCCTGGAAACGTGTTTAAAAGCGAGTACTCTGACATGGACATGGCCCTGAATCAGTACAGCCAACCTGAATTTTTCACAGAAGAAAAACCTACTTTTTCTCAAGTGCAATCGCCATCGTACTCTCAGAAGAAAGGTAGGGGCATTTTATTTAAATAACAAAAAAAAAATAATCTCTGTTTTTGTTTTTGTTTTGCTTTAAACTTACAGTTGCATCAGTTGGCTCAGATGCATCTTTGAATGTGAAGGCTGCCTGTTCAAAATTGAAAGCAGCAGTAACATAGGTTGCTAGGTGATTGTAAGGTTTTCAGTGAGCGATGAGGATTTCCAAGCACTTTTTCTTAATATATAAGAGACATTTGCAAGTATATTGCTTTTTTTTTTCTGCTTTCCTGGGCTATTAAGTTCCTTTGCTATTCACCAGTGAGCTCGATAAGAAAGTTTCTCTCCTGAAATGTCGTCATTATATATTCTGCATCTTAAAGCTATGTTTCTGGTTACATACAAACTGTGTAAGTCAGTGTTTTCAGTAAATGTGAACTCTGTTTGCTCAGCAACTCAGGTGAAAGATTTTGAAAATAGGACTCTAAATATGTACGGGAAATGATTGTGTTTGAGTTACTGTCTTCTAAGTGAAAACCACAAGTTTCTGATCAGGCAGAGCAAAAAAGACTGAAAATTCAAGAATATATCTATGCAAGAAAGATGACTTTGCATCTGAAAGGTTGATCTAATCAATATGTTTGTGAGACAAGTGCACTGTCTTCTCCCTAGGGGTTAAATCATTGTCAGTTTTTAGAATTTATTCTTTTGCTTTCAAGTAATCAAAGGAGATTTAAAAAGAGCCCAAAATACTAGCAAACACTTGGAAATGTTTTCAGTGTTGTTTGTTTTGAACTCGGCAACCAAACTGACGCATATAAAGTATACATTCTCTGTGCGTCTTTAAAATCACTTTATTAAAGAAGAAAAATAAACTGTATGTTATGGCAAAATAATGTCCTTTTCTGATCAGACCAGATATTCTGTATGCAGTTTTCTGAAATCCAGATGAATCTGATGTAACTAGAGAGATAAAGAAAACACCATTTACTACTTTTGAAGTATCTTTGTAGTGAAAAGTGTACTGTTTATTTTTATTAACTGCATGGAAAACTCAAGTATTTTCCTTTGGGCAGAAAATATTCACTAACCCTTGATGCAACAAACCTCTATCATTGATGGAAAAATGTCTTAATTTTATACATTGAACAGCATCATATTTCATAATAAAGAAAATGATTTTTTAAATCCTTCTTGGAAGCTGTAACAACACGATCAAATTGTAGGCTAAATGTAGTTGAGGATAAAGCATGTTTTTTGTGTTGTGCAACATTTTAAATGTTTTTTAAGGCTGTTTATCTGTTGTTGGGTTTTAATTAATGAATTCATAGCCTTTGTAGACTTTTCCATGTCTTATTTTTGAGTAAAGAAAAAGTTTATCTCAGGCTTAACTTAGAAAAAATACAGACTTGCTGTTGCAAAGTCACTGAAGGAATACATTTTTTATAATGTTAAAGGTTATGAATAATACTTGGTTCACCTAGATCAGAGCTTTAAGTCATTTCAGTATTTAGACACCTGACATCTGCCCTGTGTAAAGTTTTTGAACTTGTTTGTTTGAAAGACTACAGAATTGTGTTTAAAAACAGCTTGTATGCCCTTGTTTTCTACCATCTCAGTTTCCCTAAGAAATGGCGGTGAATTTCTGTGGATGCCGGCTCTCAAGCAGGCTTTTAATTGATCATTCACTGAGACTGAGCAACGTGTTTTGGGATTCTTTAGAGCCTTATTACTGTGATAATCAATAAAAAGTGGCTTCCCTTCTGTCAAACCTTCACAAATGTTGAGTTTGTTAAGCAGAAGAGATCTAAACTGTGTGGAACATGTGCATCTTCTCTTTTCTTTTTTTTTTTTTTTTTAATTTCTATCTTTTAAGCAAGCTATCGTAAAACTAACGAATCTTTTAATCCTGTCCTAAGAACAGAAGGCTTTTCACAGGGCATGTGTGTCTGTATTGATCCAGAATTGATTGGGGGAGCGAGTGAGTTTGTTAGAGAAGCCTTGGTAATAGCCCATTAAAGCAAAATTAAGTCCCTAAACAGGTGTTCATGAGGAGTCTTGATTGTTGCAGTTGGTATTTTTGTTAGTCCCCTGAAATTTGTCATAATCTCAATAATATGCTGTTCAAATCAGATTGTACTTTACAGTAGCACATGGACTCATTTCCTATGAGAACTTTTCCTAGTTACTAAATGGTTAAAGTCTTGTTTTCCCTCTGGAAAGAAAAAAATCAACATTTTATGTGTTGGAAAGCTTATAATTTGTGAAAGGGTATTTAATTACTTCTCCATTTTTATGTCACTTTGAAAGAATTCAGAAAATAACTTGAAAAACAACAACCAAAGACCCCAGCAATGTGTAGCTAAGGGAAAAAACATAAGCATTTATAAAGCATAGCCAGTTATTCTAAATACCAGAAAGCTGCTTCAGTTATTACAGTACATTAAAAACTATTATTTCCTGACTATCTGTCAGAAATGCTGATGAAAGAATTAACTTTTAAAGAAAAGAATCCTAGTCCAGAAAATCAAGAGGTGGAGATGTGGGTTTAGCTTTACATCTCCTTGTTGCTCCATTACCTTTTGTTCTCTGGTGTACGCTGTTAAAAGGTGACAGCACAACATTTGTGCAAGAACTTATTGTTTTATTAAGGAAGCCCTTTCAGACCTGATCCTGCCCTAGGAAACAGGCAGCCAGATACACTTTGTTTTCTGCATAATGCTGTGAAACCTGATAAGCAGAACAGGCTCATCATCGTGAGAACGAGGTGCTATTCTCAGTTGTGTCGCAGAGAACTTAAACTGGAATATTTTTCCCCTCATACAGTGCTGCCAGTCCTGGTGAGCTTGCAGCAGTGCCCGCTGGCTGGGTGATGCTCAGGGGGAGCCTGCACCCCCCCTGCCCCGATGCAGAGGCTGAGCAGACAGGCAAAAATATCCCTGGATCTCCTCACACCACCTATACTGTGAGGAGACATACCCAGTGACAAGGCAGAGATAATGCAGCTAGGAAGGTACAAAAGAAATATGTACAGAAATCCAGAAACCTCAGTGTCCCCACACTTGGTGTCTGCACAGTGTTTTGGACATTTGGACAGCATGGGAGGAATGTCTGCAAGTTTAAAACTGGGATGAGAGTTTGCTTCCACTTCCCTTTTGCATGGTAATTTCTTGGACGATGTTAATGAAAGATGTCCACAGGTGTCTGTGAGGTTAGACTTTAGCTTTAGATTCTGTGGGGCAGACAATAGTAGGCAGAGATTGCCCCCCAAACCAAGGGTTTGCAGGGGGCATTTCTTGAGTTTAGGCTGTAACAGAGCTGGCTTCTCATCCCTGCAGCTAACCTTGCTTCCCAGATACCAGTGAGATACCGTGCTACACAGTAAGGTAACAGTGAGATACCAGTGAGGTTAATGCCAGGTTTTGAAGGGCTCTTGGTATGGTGGGAGAACGAGGCTTTGAAAGCTGTTATTATTGTTATTGTTTTTATAACTCTATTTGCCACAATTATTTCTCTGTATATTTTCTCAGGCAATTAACGTGCAGCTGAGAGTATGTAGTGTATGAGTGCTGGAGTACGCAACTGAATTAGCTCAAACTGAATTCTCAGCAGTGTGAGAACATTAGGGTACTTTCTAAATAGCTAAGAAAAAGTAACGTGTAGTTTATGCCAAAATGTCACCTCATCAATGCAGGGAGTGTGTGTGGATATAATCAATTTACAGAAACGCTGAGAATTTGTCATCCTGGCCTTTGCAGCAGAGCAGCTCCCAGTATGTTAACGATTATTCGAGGCTTAAAAATACTCATTTTGCTCTTGACCACCCATCTAAGGAAATAGAACTAAGAAAAAATTGCATAATCCGTTGCATAAATCATTATGCATTTGGAGTTGCGTTTCTTTCATAACAAAAGTCAATGGAAATAATGTGTTTTCATCACCTTTCCACAACCAGATGAAGGATGAGAAAGTGAAGTAGGTTATACTTTGCTTTGTTCAGTAAAGCTTTGATTTCTAAACAAGTAACTTTCTTGCAATACTAAGATATTGTCTCTAAAAACATTTAAATAATTTGGGGGCTGGGAAAATTGCATGATGTGACCCTCAAAGTCAACCTCAACCTGTTGCTGGTAATGGCTGCAGGTACAGTACTGATCACAGAAGTTTAAGTGACAGCATAGTTTGGGATAAAATGTTCTCAGCACATTCTCTGCAAAAGCACAGTTATTGATGAGGTTTCTGACTCAGCCAAAGGAACACAGCAAATGAACTGAAAAGTCATTGAGAGAAAAGGGACTATAAAATGTTTTAGATTCGATCTTTGCAGAATCTTTTGCTAAATTTTAGTAATTTCATAAATCAAAGAATGTCAACGAAGATCAAAATTGAGGACATGCAAGCCAATTAGCTAACAAGAAAAGTGTGAATCTGCTCAGCAACATTCTCAGTGCTCCCAAGTTCAAAGGAGAAATAAGCCATTTTTCTCGGTGGGAGTAATTTAAAGAAAGTGGGAAACAAGGATCAGTGTATCTGCCCAGCCTTTCAGATCAATGTTGATAATAGCACAAATAAGAATGGAGTATGCTTTTTCTCTGTTGGCTCTATGCTTTCACCAACAAACACTCCATTTAAGCTTTTTCTGCACAAGTATGTCAAGGATGATGTATGGCTAGTCCTTGTAATTTTTTATAATTTGTAAAGAGTTCAATGTGACTATGAAAGCAGTAGAACAGCAGTACAAATTTACATTTCAGTTTTTATATAGTTGAGGATTCTCAAGGTAGTAATTAATTTAATCTTTTTCATTTTCGTACTGCAGTGTCTAGTAAGTGAATACCAGCTTACTGATAAATCCTAGCTCCTCATTTTAGTGAGTGGTCTCTAGTCATGAAAAGCCTACCAGATGGGGGAAAGAAACATTTCAGGAAATATATTTAATACATGACTCTGACAGTGTACGGTGAAAATTAAAATACTGAATAATGGTCTTGAAATGTAACTGTCCTCCTGCAATAGCAAAAAAATGGCATTTTCTGCCTGCAAGCTATAAATCTGTGTTGGGTTAGGAACAAGCTAATAATGAACATCTGGCAGACAGGCATAATTTGTTTGCATCGGTGTTACTTATATCCCTGTTCGGTAGTCAAATACCATTTGGTTTTACGATTTTTTTAATGTGTGGTTTAATTCCCTAGGCAAATATCTCATTATCTGTACAGACCTGGAGATATAAAGTATGTGCAATGATACTTTAACAAAACTGAAATCGGTTCTTTTACTTTTCTCAAAATATGCTTTTAGTTGCTGTTGTTGCTGTTACTGTGTACCAGGTACAGAGGAAAAAGAAACACTATAACTTTTTGGAGCTGGTTATAATTGAAATAGTTTTTCTTTGCCTTGTTGCATGGAGGAATAGCCACTGAGTGTCTTCTTTGTGTCTCTCCATCCCATTACACTGTGGAGGGTAATATATGGTGCTCTAAGGCATCATTCCTGCAAATGGTAATTCAAGAGTGCATACATACAGTATTAATGGAGGAGTACCTCAGATGACTGCATAGGTTAGCAGATCTCCTTCCATCCTTATGGCTGCTTGGGGCAGACATGTTGTGCATTTTCCTGTTGAAGGGAATTGTTTTCTGCCATGCCTCTACAAAGCTACAGTTGTGATTTAAATCGCTCTCAAGATTGGCTATAATGGATTATATGGCATACTAGAGAGGGGCAACTGGTCCTGCTGTGTGCTTAGCCTTGCCAAGACAGTAAGATTAGGCAGACTGGCAGGTGGGAGTCTGGGAACCATAGGAGTTACTTTAGGCTACAGGGGAAACACCAGACATGGTGGATCAAGGTCATTCGCCATTATTCTCCACTCAGAACAAAGATCCAAGGTGGGCATTGGGATAAACAATGTTAGGTCATTCTTGACAGATAATTAACGTGGAGGATCATACGGGATGCAACAAATGACAATCCATGAGGATGCTGAATACAGCAGACAGACTTGAAACAGCAAGGGACAATATTGGTGGTTTTTGTGCAATTCAGTGAGGTTGGTGTTGCTCTTGAACAGTTCCTCTTAGCTATTTACTTAAAAGGTTTTGACCAAGAAATAAAAGATAAATTATGACCACCTGAAATAGGTACCTACCTGAAGTTCTCATGAGATTTACCAGACATTCTTCTTTAGTAAGAGAGCAGCAAGGTTACTCTGTCCAGAGAGCATCTGCTTTTCCGCATAGGCATTTTTATCTTTGCTTCAGAGTGAGACAAGTCTGTTGTTCTTCCCCTCCTCAAAACATCCAGCAGAGAACTCTGCTGCCTGCCATCCATGGCTTCCCCAAGAATCTCCACTGCACTATTAATTTCTTCCACGTTGGTACCATGTTTAGAAAAACAGTGTTGAATTTTTTCCTGCTAATGCTGTTTCTAACTCTGAGAAGCAGAAAAAATGTACTGAGTCTGTTTAGCTGCACGTCTTTCAAATTAAATTGTATTGAATTTATACAGAGGTCATACAGGATATTTACAACTACTAGAAATTACTTAGAATGGACATTAGTGTTTGTAAGAACTGAATGTAAATCCACTTACTCCTTTTGCAGCGATATCTGTCTGAATTATATCTGCTAAAAATACTACTGAAGGTCCAATCTTCCCAGTCTAGCTGCTTCTGACCCTATTAGCTGTTGGAAGTGTTAAAAATATAGAAAACTGTAATAGAAAAGATATGTGTATTGCACACTTTTGTTGCCAGTGATTTCTTGGAATAAGATTTTTCTATTCATGTTTCCTGTTCAATCACTAGAAGGGTTCCATGTGTGTACTTCCCTTGTGACATGGACTCAATCTGCAGAAATACTGAACATAATATTTACATAGTTTAGGTGGGTGACACTTAATGCATCTGATGCAATAAAATTGTCAATGTAAAGACACCATTTTTAATTTCTGACTAGGAGTGCCCCTAGGAGATTGTGTGTTCTGGCAGACTGGAAATTGTTTATTGTATTGGATAAAGTCACAAAACTCCAGGAAGGAGGTAGACAGCAGTGGTCACATGCAGGACCTACTGTATATATTTAAGGAAGCAGTTTAGACAAGTGGCCTCCTGGTCCTCCAGTAGAACAAGCTGCCATTACATAAACAGCACTAACTAGCTTGTGTAACTAATCAAACATCAAGACATTTAATTCAGAAGCAATTATTGAGGAAGCTAACCAGGGATACTGAATTTTTGAGGATGTTATTTATGTTATGCAAAGACTTTATTTCATGAATACCAGTTACCAGCAATAACAAGAAGCCATTGATCTTCATGATAAATTTAGGGGAAAATTCTATATCCCTTTGCTGCATCTTCTGCCCACTCTGTCAGCTTTGTGTTGTGTATGTGTTGCAGAGGCAGGTGTGAGCAGAGTGGGGGCAGGATGGAGATAATAGCCTCTGCTAATCCCTCGCTGGCATAGTGTCTATTAGGAGTCAGTGATGTAATTAGAGTTGAAACCCTGCTGTGTCCTGTCCCTCAATGTCACATGGCCACTAGTCTATCCAAGCATAACTTGTTCATCATGGAGAAATGGAGCCTGAATATAACTGGTCTTTTGCTGTCTTGTAGACTGGCTTGATACAACATTAAGATCTCAGATTGTTCCCCCACTGCCCTTTCAGATATCAGTAGGAATATTGGCAGACCTGAGATGCCTGTATCCAGGAATGCCTTCACAGCACTACTGCTTCCTTGTTTCAGAGAAGAGGGAGATGTGTTCTTCTATCATTTGAGGTTCTCATAATTATACTCAAACTAGGCCATGCAAATACTTTATGCCTTCTTTATTTTCTCCTGATTTACTCACCAGCCTCCATAAAGGCTAGAAAAATGGGATGAGAGGAATCTCTTGCAATCCATCAAAGGGAAAGGCCAAATTCTGCACCATGGAAGGAGAAATAAATGCAGCAGTGGAGGCCCAGCTGGCAGGAAACTGCTTTGCACTGAAGTACTTGAGGGGTCCTTGTGGGCAGCAAGTTGCATATAGGCCAGCAGTGTGTCCTTGGAGCAAGGGAGGTAAATGGCATATGGTCTGCTTTAGGAAAAACATCACCAGCAGCTTGAGGGATGTGATCTTTCCCTTCTGTTCCAATCTAGTGAAACACATCTGCAGTGCTGGGTCCAGTTCTGAGTTCCCCAATAGGATAAAGGCACACACATCCTGGAGTAAGCCCAGCAAAGGGCCACAGAGATGATGAAGCATCTCTTCTATGAGGAGGAACTGGGAAAGCTGGGACTCTTCAGCTTGGAGCAGAGAAGGGTGTGTGTGAACACCTGATTCCCCATACTGTAGAAGACAGGTCCAGACTCCTCGCTGTTCCCAGTGACAGAACAAGAGGCAATGAGCACAAATAGAAGTACAGGGAATTCCTTCTGATAATAATAAAATAGTATTTTCTTTTCACTAGGTGACAAAGCAGAACACTTGCACATATTGCCCAGAAAGGTTGTAGAGTCTCCATCCCTGGAGATACCCAAAAGCTGTCTGGGCATGGGCCTGTGTTGAGCAGGGGCGTTGGAGCAGTTGACCTCCAAAAGTGACTTCAAAACTCAGCCATTGTGGGATTTTGTTTACTACACTCCACTACACTCCACAGTCTTACACAGTTATACATATAGTTGCACTTCCCTCAAAGGGAATCTGTGATCTCTATCTTCACAGCGAGATATTTTCAGAAGGTAAAGTTATGAACCTTAACTCCTTTAGTTATTTGTCATGGAAACATTGATTTGAAAGGTTTGTATTTTACCGTTTGAAAGTTGTCGTTACGATTACTTTTTGCTTGCCATCAGAATTGTTTTGGGTTTTTGCTCAAATTGAAAATATGTTTGTGTTTTCAAAACAAATGTCATTGTGGGAAAGGAACCAAGCATTGCCAATTTTTTTCACAGCGGGAATATTTTCACTGGCTGGATCTGGTGAACCACTTCAGAAGAGAAAATTTCATTCTAACGCATACATGTACACACACACACACATTTGAATGTCCATGTATTTTATTTTAAATTCAGGCTATGTTAACTATTCTGAGGAACATGTCCAAGTCAGGCATGATCAATATAACTTGGACTATATGTTGCCAGTACCTCTCTGCTTTGAAACAAACCATCTGTCAGTAAATATTTCTTACTACCAAGTCCCCCAGTCTCACTGAAACCTGGGGTTTTTCTGATATATAGAACAGAAATATATTGTATGCTTTCACTGCTATTTTATTATTTTACATCAAATCTTTTGAAGTAATGAATATTTTCTGAAGCAGTATTTCACTCAAGAGAAAGAAATCATGTTCCAACTTTTCCCTCTTGACCAGTAGACACTGAATCAGTCTGAAGAATAGAAAATATTATCGACTGTAAATATTAAATATTATATTATAATTTATATAATTTATATAATTTATATAACAATTTATATTTGTATAAATTTATATAATTTATATTAGAATTATAATATAAAATATTATAGACAGTATACATACTCTGTAACACAGTACAAACTTTTATCCAGGAAATTCAGTGAGTTCAGAAGTATGGCACTGGTAGACAAGATCTGTGGTTGTTTTTAATACAATCTTTTTATATCAAATCATATAATTTTGTATGGAGTTTACATGCCACATCCTCTTTTTCTTTGCAGGGTATATACCCAGCTACTTAGACAAGGATGAGCTATGTGTAGTATGTGGGGACAAAGCCACCGGATATCATTATCGCTGCATCACTTGTGAAGGTTGCAAGGTAAATGGCACGGTGGGAAAGTGGGAATCAGAAATAGCTCTCCAGCTCCTCCATTATACAGACTTCCTGAACTGTGCTGTCAAATCAAATAAAGACAGATTAGAAGCTAATAAGAACATCCAGTACTGATGATAAGCCCTATCTGGCCATGCTGCTGTTCTTTATATGCATAAGGAATATAGTTGGTTTTTGTCGTGTTAGCTTCTGAAAAGAAAACAAGAAATTTAGATTGTCGTTGCTGCTGTTTAACAGTTAGCTTTTGAATTTCCATTTTTTAATGTTTCTGTAGCCATGTTCTCAGCCAGAGTACATCAGCATGTTCCCAGCTACTCCACTGAAGCTGTTTATGCAATAGCTGAGATTCTGCTTATGGCCATGAAGGGTCTGTAGTGATTAACAGTGTTCCAGTGCCTCTCACTATCCTGGTGAAGAAGCAAAAATCAAAATCCTTTCCGCATGCTCATACTAAAGTAACATACATCAATTTGGGAAACATTGACAATTAAAATAGTTTCAAAAAGATTTTGATTTCTTTAACTAAAGCATATTGAAATGTGCTTTCAGCCCTAAAATGCATCTCCAAGACTACATGCAAAATTAAATTTAAAAAGAGATTGCTTTGGGCAAGTAAATAAAAAAATTGAGTAACAGAATAAGGCATATCTTACATGATTTCCCTGCCATGAATTTGCCTGAATAGCTTGAGATTCTGTAAGAAAGCTATTCTTTCTTGCAGAAAATAAAAAAAATATTGTTTTTCTAAACAAATGGGACCACACATGTCTTGGACTAGTGTCATGAGTCTATGCCACAAAAGTCTCATTCTGTTCATCTGCAAAGTCTGGAACATTTGAATCTGAGATTTTGGGTTTGGATTGGCTTTAGAGCTCCTCATCACAATAACTCTTGTGTTGAAGTAGTTCCTTTGGTTGTACATCATTGCCCTAAGTTATATTTATGAAATGCATGGAGACCTAAATATCTGCTATGTGCAGCAGATTCATGGTAACATATATAATGGTTTTATACATATACTTACATACAATGTCTGAAAAAAGTTACATATATCTTTAAAAAGGACTGTGGAGCTGTGCAAGTGATTCTTATGCATTTGCATCCTGAATACCAGATAACAATACATAATATGGATGGATGCAACTTAATTTAGATATAATGCAAAGTAAACAGCACTGTGACACTATGAAGAATACTTAGCTCCCAACTGAACAGCTGTATCTCTTGCCAGCTTTCCTGCTAAGGTTTTTGTTACTTCAACTCAAGTAGTTCTTTTTATGCCTACCAGCTATTTTAGAGACATAGCATAAAAATCTGCTTCTATCTTCACATACAGTTCTTCTGTCTGATGCACAGTTTACAATAATACTTTTGTGCACAAGGAACCGAGATAACAATTTGCAAAAAGTAATTAATTTCTTGGAGGAACAGCATATACATTTCAAGTTGTATGATATATCAACAAAGTTATGTTTTATCAATACACAATATATATATATATATAAACAATTTTTGATTAATTTGAGGTTTACTAGTTGCTTCCACTCAAAGTCACTTTAGTTTTGTAACAAGCATAATCAATGCTTTCATCCTCACACCTGATTTCTGAAGAGTAAATTGTGAGGAATTTAAACACAAATAAAAATGGGTTCTGATATCACAAAAATGTTTTTTCAGACTTTATCCTTTGCTTATACTACTATATAGGTACATAGTAAAGGAGTTTAGGAAGTTACTGCCTACAATACAATGTGCTTTCTTTTATTGATGAGAATAACACTTCTGTGGTGAAGTGTTTGGACAGATATAGAGAGCAGCTTCCTTAACATGTACCTAGAGATAAACAAAGAAGGTTTTTTGCAAAATATTTCAGAGAAATGCAAAGAAATGAAAAGGTGAAATGGGCTGTCCCAACAGAGGTGATGGAGACCCTTGCCATCGTAAAGCTACAGCTACATTAAATCCCGTGCAAGGTTTGGAAAACAGAAACTCACTTGCTGAGATTCAGTAGATTTTCCATGCAGAAGAGATTTTCCATCTCTTGCCATAACTACTGATAACCCTGTCACCCTGGTTGTCCACAGCCATCTTAGGTCTTCAGGAAGGGGAGGAGCAGATTCTGACTCTAGGAATTCATCACAGAGTTGGGAACAGAAACAAAACCGGGTGCTCAGAAGATGAGAGTATGAAACTTATTCCAAACCCCACATAAGGATATCTTGCCTGTGATTTCCTGGATTTTATCTCAACACAACTGGTCCCAGTCTTGCAAAGGCTCACACACAAGCTTTATGCCACTCCATTTAATTAACATTTCAGGTCTTAACGTAATTAAGGAAGAAAGAGTTGTACTCTTAGCTCAAGCTGAACCTCGTAAGATAAAACTTTAATGAGGACAAGGCTCTTCATTGTCTTCACAGGAGTTAGGAGTACAAGCTGAAAGACAGACTTATCTGTACATTTTAATTCAACATTCTGTGTTAAAAGAAATTGTGCACTGCTGTAAGATTTTACTGGGTGTTATTTAACATGATTTAAAAACAGACCTTTTGCCTACTGAAGAGTCTATTCATTAGACAAAATCCAAACTGAAGAGACTATTCATAAGGTAAAATCTCACTTGAATTTTGCCATTGTTTTGACTAAAACTAAAGCCATTCTCAGTCAAACAGGACCAGGGTGTTAGTGTGCTCTCTGCATCAATCCCGAGCTGCATTGCTGAATTTAGACAGTCTCAAATAATGGTGAAACTTGAAATTAAAGTGAAGTCTAAACTTTCTGCTTTACAGCCTGTCTTATTAATTTCTTGCAGTCTTGGGGAGTCTATCCAGCCCTTGCAAAAGTCAGTGAGAAAAATCATATTGAAATTAGTACCAGGATTTTGCCCATAATGTTCAGAGATAAATTTTATCTGACTTCGTTACCTACAGGGAGGTTTTATGAGATGTTTAAATGAGTGAATTCAGTGGGATTGCATTAGTTCATATGGTGTTAGAATCTGTTTAAATTCGCCATATAGATCTGTATTATGATAAATAGATAGATAGATAGATAGATAGATAGATAGATAGATACATACATACATACATACATACATACATACATACATATATAAATAGATGAATCTTTGGTGGTGATGGGGCTTTTGAAATTCTGTGGTAAATACAAATTAAATCTGCTTCTCAGGAGTACAAATAATTTATAAATTAGGGATCCTTTGAGTTTAGAACCAAACTCAAAGGTTTGTATAGACTGTATTTGCAAAATCTTTGTCTTGCCCAGATTTGGTTGGTTCATTGGTTGGTTATTTGGCTTTTATGGAAAGAAAGGAGTGAAACTATTCGCCCTCAAGCCTTTGATAGCACAAAGACACCACCATTCTTACTATTTGCAGAAGCTGCTTTTTAATTAAAACTATGTATATGCCTTTTAATATCCTTCAAAATTATTGCAGAGCTTGATAAGAGCTCTCAAAATTAAATCTCAAAATTAAATACTTCATATGCAAAAAAAATTTAACATAGTAAAGCATAAGACTACAAGAAGGCATGTAGGACATCTGTATTTGTGCCTCAAGATAGCATTACTTGCACTTTTACTTATCTAAAATGTCTCTATGTTTTTAATCATTACAGAAAATCGAGAGAAATGCCAAACACTATAAAACTGGATTGAAAGCTTTGAGAATTTCAGGGAATGAAGTGTGTTATCTTGCATACTTAGGTACATGCCTAACAAACCAAGTAGCTCCCAATTTTTAAAAATTGCTCACTGCTAATGCTTTCCAATGTATTTATTTCTTGAACCTAGGGTTTTTTTAGAAGAACCATTCAGAAGAACCTCCATCCAACCTATTCCTGTAAATATGAAGGAAAATGTGTGATAGACAAAGTAACAAGAAATCAGTGCCAGGAATGTCGCTTCAAAAAATGTATCTTTGTTGGCATGGCAACAGATTGTAAGTATATTTTCCTGGTTTTCTTTATTTTTATTTTTTTTTTCAATGTCTGTGTTTGCTTAAAGTATGTTGATTGATGAAGCTTGTTAAAGTCAAGTAGAGCTGCCAGCCCTTTTCTGGTTTTAATAACTTGTACCAGGGAATTGTACTCATTGCATTAAGACACTTTCACAGGGCTGTAATTTTTTGTTTATCCTTCATCGGTCTGCACCTTCTCCTGGCCTTACCAAGCTGAATAACAGTAGGAATGTTCACTCTTTGGAGGAGAGGAGGGAGAAATGCATCTGGATGGACACTTTGCTTGAGATAAAAACATCTTGTTTAGAAAATTCTGGAGGATGTGAAATTGAATGTCATTGTATGAGTCATCCTGCAGTTGTTTGTTTTATTTTTAGCCTTGAAGAAGTTATCTGCTGCAAAGATTTCGACTCTCATTCTAAAGAAGTAGAAAATATGGCTGTAAGATTAACCCTTAGGGGTCTTCTTTTCCTGCCATTGCACAGGGATGTACACCAATAACTTCAATTACTACATATAGGAGGAAGTCACATAAAACCCCCAGAAGTCATATAAATCCCCTTTGTGCCTTCATGGTTGTTGCCATTATAATCCTTTGCAGAAGAACTGACAGGCAAACAGGCCCAGTAAACAACAGAAAAATAATCTAACTTACTATTTTCATTGTTAATGTAATGTATAACAGTGCCCTCTGTCTAGAGGGAAATAGAATAAAGGAGACTGTTTCACTGTGGCCAGATAGACCTTCAGGAGAGGGGCTGGATACCAGTGAAGTGGTGAGCAGAGCAGCTCTGGGGCCTCTGTATCTGGAGCCCCTGGAAGTAATGGGTCTGCAGGAACACTGCTTGTGGGGACTAAGGAAAGAGCCAAAGGCATGTTGATCTGATTGTATCATGCTTCAGGTAGATGAGCCTTCTGTGAGTAAGTGCTCCCTTTCTTCAGACCATGTTACCTTCTGCTAGCATCCAAGAACATGTTTTACACTTCAGAGCAGTGAGTGTAAGTATGCTGATAAGACTTTAAAGAAAACAGAAGTGCATCTTTCCCAATATAGGAGCACTTGGACACCTCACAAAGCTTTTGCATATTTTATTTTATTTTTAATAAATTTTATTTTTATTAAATTATTATTTATTTTAAAAATTTAGTTTTATTGATGGAATAACCCCTTGAGGGCAAGGGCAGTATACAAAGCATTACCAGGAGGATAAGTCATTCCTTGAAATTCAGGCTTCTGAAAAAAAGAAGTTTGAAGGGAGAAATAAGAGAACTGTCTATACTGTGGATCTTGCCAAGGTACTTCCTTACTGATTAGTTAAGGTGTTTGTAAGCAACTGGTACCTCAGGCACAGAAAAGACCAAAGTTCTGACAGTCTTAAGAGCTTTCTGCTGTTTTTTTATGTTTTTTCCCCTGCTAGTGGTGTTGGATGACAGCAAGAGGTTGGCAAAGAGGAAGCTGATAGAAGAAAATCGAGAGAAGAGACGTCGAGAAGAGCTGCAGAAAACCATTGGGCACAAACCAGAGCCAACAGATGAGGAATGGGAGCTCATCAAAATTGTTACTGAAGCCCATGTGGCCACCAATGCACAACTGATGTTTGTGAAAAAAGGATGATTTTGCATAGTTATTACTTCATTTTTCGTGCCTGAACCTCAGTGTTTGATCAGACCATGTATTTCAAAAGATAAACAGTGTGTTGCTGTGTTAAGGCTTACTCAGCTGGATACTTTTATTGTGCCAGGATAAGAAAGAGTAGAAAAATCGTTTCACTCCTGATTGAGAACAGAAGCAGTTTATAATGCTTACTGTATTTTTAAAATATATTCTATCTAGGGATAGCTGTCTTTATTAGGGACTATCATAAAACATATTGAAAGTTAAATGTTAAAACAGTATAAAGTTCTAGATAAAAGCTGGTATTTTTTGTTAATAACTCAGGGATTTTGCCTGTTTTGGTTAATGGTGGATACATTAATGAAAATAAATTAGGCAAAGAAAATTAATTTCAGTGATAACAGGATGAGACATACACTATACCACTGGGACTGCGCCTACAAAACAAATTTTCATCCCATAACTCTGGGTCAGAAAATAACTGGTAATTTGTGATGCTCAACCTTAAAAAAGGATTTACTTGAGTTTTCTACATTGATTTTTAAGGGAAATAAGTGCAGAATGCAAAGTGCTTGTACAACATTTTGCATTTCAGAAATACACAAGGGTCTTTAACAGTCAGTGTATACCAAATCAAATAGAGCACACTCATCTTTTTGCAAGCCTAGGCTCCTACTGCGTAATTCACCATGGGAATTCCAACTCACTGTCGAATTGCTAAAAGAAAATATGTATTCAGATCAGCTGATCTCTTTTATAATGTTGAGGTTCTTTAATTCCAGTGACACCATCTAAATTTCTATATGAATGGCTCATGTTCATAGTACTCTACAGTCAGGAAACCACACCCAGTCATCACTGGCAAGAAGCAAGAGAGCACTTTCCAGGGGTGTTGCAGAGCAAGGTGTGAGCAGATCAAGAAGCAGCTGCAGTAGTACTTTTGGTTGCTTAGACAGCAGTGCTGTTCTTTGGGTATTAGCTGGTTTGGGACAAAACCTAGGGAGCTCAAGGTTGGGGCTGCACATGAGCTGTTGAAGAGCAGGAGAAGCTGACAGTCTGCCCCGGGAGCTATGGATTTGTCCTTATGTGGCTGGGGCTGGTTCTTTGACAACAGGGACTTCATTGGGGTCCACACCTCTTCTCCTGTTGAGGTAGGTGGATAGGGCTTCCCTCCAGTGTGTTAGCTTTAGCTGGCTCTCCTGACTGGCTTTGCCTTTCCTGAGAAAATGCTGTGCTCTTTCTTTTTCTCCATACCAATGGTTCATGTGGGTTTAAGCATTTGGTCTTTTTGCTTGGATGATGAAGGTTGTTTATCATGAGCACACAGACAATGTGGTTTAGTTACCCAAGATTCAGGGAGGGAGAAAGCCTAGGAATTAGTTTATTTGAGTTTTTTTAGTAGAAACCATCACATAATTGAGCCCAGTCTTCTTCATTGTTCCTTTACAATTGGTGCTTGCTTTATTAGCACATTGCTGAGTTTTTTCTTATAAGAGGTTAGATTTGGATTCAGATTGGTTACAGAGCTGTGGAAGGATCTTTTATGATGTGTTTCTTCAAAAAAGGGATTGAACACAGTTCTCATTACAGACAGCACTTTCCACACCTCCCCTGTATAAGTGTCTTATATAAATGTTGTGGGGCCCATTGGTCTTAAAGGTCTACTTCTCTGGATTTTATCTAGTTTTTGACCTTAATGGGAACAGAATGAAAACTCTCCATGGTGTCTGGCAGGTGTTTTGTAATTGCAAAGCCACACGTAACAAACAAAACAGCTTTGATGTGCCTGTTTTTAAAATACATGGTAACATTGACCAGCTGCATAAAAACCAGGTAAACAAGTTCAAGTGCAGTTGGATTAAAAAAAACACTCATTACAGATTCTGCTTCAAACTATTTCATTGTATATCCTTATTGAAATCCTCAAAATATGATTTGTTTCTCATTTGGAGAACCCTTGAGCTGAAATCATCCAACAGGCAATTTTCAATTAAAATTTTACCCAGATGAGTTCAAATTCTATTTGCATTATTCACCACACCTTTAGGTTAGCCTGTTCTTGCTCATAAGTTGTTTTAGCTTTGCACATAAGTTGGTTTAGCCTTTTGAAAATTGGCCTTGGCAATTACCTGGGAGGGCCCTGTGATACCTGGCAATCTGTCCTGGGGAGACTTTCCAAGCTTTGAGTAGGTGAAAGAGCCTAATTCTGAAAAGCTTGCAGCATCTTCTCAGGGGTAACATGTCTCTCCAATTCTCTTTGCTTTTAGGGAAGCTTTCAGCTCCTGTAAGGAAAAATGTGCCTGTGTTTTTTAAGCAAAAGATGCATATGCTGCACCCATAAAATACATAGATGGAGACACAAGGAAGAAATTGTGTGCACAACAGTCCAGCTGTCCATGAAGAATGGGTAGAAGCATACCAGTCACCCATTTCTCTGTGCAGTCACCTCTTTCACAAATGCCTTACAAATAAATTCACACTTTGTGATGTAAATGGAGTTTACTTATAAAGCAAATAGTGTTGCTTTTTATTTTAGTGTATCTTCCATCACCAAGCAAGACTTTTTAGAGTATAAAATAGTTGCTCTAAGACAGACTGCTCCTTTCAATATCTTTGTTTATATCCTTAGCCAGAAGATATTGGGCAGGCACCAATAGTTAATGCCCCAGAAGGTGGGAAAGTGGATTTAGAAGCCTTCAGCCAGTTTACAAAAATTATCACACCAGCGATTACAAGAGTGGTGGATTTTGCCAAAAAGTTGCCTATGTTTTGTGAGGTAAGAAGACTTTCTTGCACTCCTCAATTTATATGCCTGTTGTTAAAAACTAGTCAAAATACTCTGGCATGAAACTTAAAAATTCAGTGTGTCTAAAATTAAAAAATTAAAGACACTCAAAATCGATGGGACTAGAATAAACTGGATTTTCATGACTTTTCTTTTTCCTGTGATTACTGAAACCCTGAGTTTGTTAATCTGGAAGTCATTGTGGTTTATTAGAGACTCAGATATGACTTTGGAGGTGGCCTTGAACCAAGCAAGTGAACAAAAATATACTGTCTAGAAGCATTGCTGATATGTTTAATAAAATCTTCCAGCACATGGTTCCCTATGTATCTTTTGGTTCCTTGGCAGGTACAGTATTGTTGAGTTGGGTTTGTGCAGTAAGAAATTCTTCAAATTCAGGAAAGTACCCCTGGTCCAGGAGTAGCATTTACCTCATTGGGTTCCCTAGGCTTGGTTTTTCTGAATGGGGATGTTTGCATAAAAGAATCTATGAAAACGGATTGTCATTCCAGGTAGATAATCACATGTAAATATACAGTAAATAGACTCAAGGGCTTGGTTGCACATAGGATACAGAGGCCTTATGCTGATCTCATTTGTACCAAGGTATCATTTTCATTGAAAGACCAGGTGCAGTGGTTGAATGTTGGTTTTTTTTCTCCAGTTTAATAAATGGTGTCACTACTGCAGCCTGAAATAATATTTCAGTCTTAATAATATAAATAATTTTCATAGAATCATAGAATGGTTTGGGTTGGAAGGGAACTTAAAGATCATCTGGTTCCAACATCCTACCCTCAGCAGGAACACCTTCCATTGCACCCTTTGAGGTCAACACCCTACTAGGAAGGAAGGGTGTGGCAGCCATAACATTTTACTCTCCTGTGGCTGGCAACTTTTCTTTAAAGTCAGTCAGGGAGAGCTATATATGTCCTCTGGCAAGTACAGAATGAGAAGAGGTAAATATCAATAGTTGTCATAGTGTAAATATCTCACCCTGGCCAGCCTCTGCACTGGCACCATCAGTCAAGGAAGCAGGAAATAGTAGTCAAGCATGAAGATTTTAAAATATGAGGAATATGTCCATAGATCATGAGGCCCCCGCAGCATTTAGCATCTGAGGGAATCTGTCTCCTCTGATCTGGCATTTGTTGGTGGGAAATTGCAGTGACATACCAAGGTAGTCTTTTTAATTCAGAAAGCTCTGCCAGTCACACACAGACTTCAGTGCCCATCTGACATCTCCTACCCCTCCTGACTACTATGGGCCCACTTGTGTCAGAGCTAGGAAGGGATCATGGATGAAGAATTCAAGGCATCATTGAGCATGACCTCTGTATGTTACGTGGCTCAGCTGGACAGGCTTTGTTTGCAGCTGAGACACTGTGTAAATCTGACACCTGCCCATATACAGCAAGATCTGATGGCAGGGTGAGGGACAGCTCCTCATGAACACAAAGGAATAGGACAGCTGTCCTCCGAATTGTCATATAGCATTTGCTGTAACATGAAGAAAATGACAAATGTTTGCTCCTTTTTGAAGGGGCATCCTCCTGTTGACTTTGTTTCCATTATGATTTTTAACCCATATCTTTTTCTTAGATGCAAAGCTGTGTGGGCTGTAGATTTTTTACAAGAAAAAAACACTCCTTTTTTCCATAGGACCTGCAGAGCATTAATTCAGTTCCTAATTCCAGAAGCTGTCTGACAAGGAAGTAAATCTCTATGAAAGAAGGACATGACAGAGAACATCCATGGTCACTTACATTTTCATGGCTACTTTTCCTTTTTTTTTCACATCTTTGGACACATGTAGAAGCCAGCAAAGCACTGTGAGTGCCCAGCTTAGTGTGTGTGCACCCACTGACCCCTACCTCACAACAAGTATCCAATCCCAGAGTAATCAACCTATAAGGAAAACTTCATTTGCTTTTCAGCATTTCTCCTGTTGTTTCCTTCCTGCTCTTCTTTCTACTTAGAAGATGGAGGAGAATGCAATTAAGTTTGATGTGAGTTTTAAATGTCAAGACATCAGTGGTTCCACAGTGAGTGAAGCTGTGTAAATACTCTGTGAGGTCACTCAGCTCAGCTCAGTTCCAGGGTGCTGCACTGCACATGTGTCCTGCAGGGGTGAGCACCTCAGATTCCTGCCTTGTGCTTTTTCTCCCTGCAGAGAAAAAAGAAAGGACAACACAGGGCAGAGTTTCAGTCACATTTGTTGATCCAGCTACTGGAAGATGCTCTGGTAGCAACAGTCAAGTGATGAGTGTAGGTAGCATTAAAAACTGCACAGCTGGGAGTAGAGCTGATGTTCAAGCCTTCTGTCTCTGGTAACTCCTGCTACTGGCAGATAAGACCTGAGACCTGGCATCTGTGAAACAGTTGTCCCATGCATCCTTCAGAATTAGAAAAGCAGACCACCACTACCACAAAGAAGTTTCAAGAAGGATCAAGTAGAAAGAGAAATCCTCATTAGTTTTAATGCAAAATGGGTGAAATATCACAAAATATCTTCTCTACTATTATCTGTTTCTTTTCTACTATTTATCCTTCTATTTATAGGCTTCGTGTTTTTTTAATTTCTCTTTTCTTATCCCTTCTCACTTCCTTTCTTTCATGTCCTTTCTTTCACTGCCATTGCTTATTCCAGTATCTCTTCATGGTTCCTCTCACATATCTATTCTCGTTTCAGTTTTATTTAAACTCTGTTTCTTTCCCTGCTTCAGTCTCTGCTGCCAAATAGTGGAATTGTCATTGGGTAGCAAGACTGCCACTGTGCCTGTGCAGTCTTCCCCACACTGCTGCTGAGCTGAGGGTCATCTGTAGGGAAACTGATTTGTCCTCAACAGGATGAGTCAATTTTCTTGTGTATTAAACAATTCACACCTGAAGCTGGCATTGTTGGAAAAGTAGCTGCATGACTCAATTCATTTTCCTGACCATGGCTAGCTTTCTGCTTAAAACTCTTCTCTAACAGGGAACTGCTTTCCACTTGCATTAGGTAGCTCTGCATCATTTCCCACCAAATCAATGCACTTGCTTTGCAAGTACACTGTTGCCATGTAAACCTATGGTTCATGGGGGTTTTCATTTTGAATTGCAAAACAGGTAAGTATAATAATTCTATATAAATCAAAAATAAATGGCTTTTTGCCTCCTTTCAAGCCAAGCAGAAGTGTGTTACTCTTCCATATGTGGGACCCTTGTTGTTCATGTATGTGAACAGTCTCAAAATTGCCTTGGTGTGTTTTGTTATCACTGAATAACCTATGAGAACATAAAGACATGCTTTATAGAACACGTTCTGCTCATGTGTCATCATCCTGGTTATACTCTGTAAATACAGGACCTACATCTAACAATTTGGACAGCTTGCCTTTGTTAAATGGCATGGAAATGACATGTGCCCTGAAGATCACAGCTTATACACCAGCATAAAAGCTGTAACTATATCACAGATTTTCTGTCTGTCCAGCAATAATGTAGTGAGCTCAGGGAGAACAGCCTTACTAGATTAAGAATGGATTAATAAATTCTCTATTGTTAAAATGGGCAGTGAGAATTACTGCTTCACTGATTTAGGTATATCCTCTAGATATAAACCTGTATTTAATTCCTTTTATTTAAAACACAGTCCATTCTTAAAGACCCTCCCAAAAGTTTTTCTTTTCCTCTGGTCAGGTAAGAAATAATTATGGCTGGTAGTAAACTTAACTGGGATGGCACCAGCCATTGGGTCTGCACCAGCCCCAATTATAGCTTTTTCTGCTGTGATAAGTTGTAAGCTGAGGGAACCAATAGCTGTGTTATTGCTAGATTTCCTGAGGGTGTGTGGGGATGCTAACCAGGGAATGTTAACCTGCTGGCAGTTCCTGAGGGCAGGAACAAAGATCCTGGGGGTTTGTGCAGAACAGCATGTTTGGAGGGAAGCTGTGCTTTGTGGGGCAGTGTCCTGGGCTGTGAACTGCAACTTCATGCTTGTGGATTTACTGTAGTTGTAAAAGCCACTCAGTTTGACAAACATGCATTTTTCTTTGCTGTTTATAATTTCTGCAGCTGCCATGTGAAGACCAGATCATCCTTCTGAAAGGCTGCTGTATGGAGATCATGTCCCTCCGAGCAGCAGTTCGCTATGACCCCGAGAGTGAGACTTTAACACTGAATGGGGAGATGGCGGTGACAAGGGGCCAGCTGAAAAATGGGGGTCTTGGCGTAGTGTCTGATGCCATTTTTGACCTGGGCATGTCTCTTTCTTCATTTAACCTGGATGACACCGAGGTTGCCCTTCTTCAGGCTGTTCTGCTCATGTCATCAGGTGAGAACAGAAATATACTGAGATCCAAACAGTTTTGAAACTCTTTAGTCTTTGTTACAAGCGTCTTTATAGAAGAAATAAGGTAGGTTAAATCTTGTAGTGCTGACTAGAGTAATGTGGGAGAAATTTTCTCTCAAAACCTCTCATTTTGGTGAATACTAGGAAAAAAATTCAGGGTGTTCAGAGAGATGGACATAAAAGTGATTTTGGTAACACACCTTCCTTAATTTGGTACTTAGGAATGAGCCAGGGATGATCATCAAGAAAAAATCAGTTCTGATTCTGAGAGTTTGCCTTAAATGCAAAATGGATAATTTGGCAACATTGGTCCTTATGATAAGTTCCCTCTTCCCCTGAGTAATGTCATGCACTGAGCGTTCATACACATTTCCACCAGTCTCATATGTTTAGTTTGACTTGCCCTCTTGTTTTCCAATTTAACAGCACCATTGCTTCCTAATGGGCATTTACGAGTTGTGCTGTTTCCCTGTGATGGGACCTTTTGCAACTGGTCATGATACAAAAGCAGCACAGACAACTTCCTATGATTTCCAAAGAGTTTCTAACCTTCTCAATTTGAGTATGTTTTTAAATATGCTTCCAGTGATTGTGCCAGCCCAAAGAGGAAATTCCATTCTTGGGCAGTGGCAGATTTGGCAAGATTTTAAGATGGCTTTGAACATTGGGCACTGAATAACAATACACAATCAGTAATTTACAACATTAACTGCATCTGAGATAAACAGGTTTCCACATTAATCATAACACAGCACTTCATCTTCCCCATCAAAATATTTTGATTTATTTTTAGGTCCCTACACAGTAATACAGGAGCAGGGCTTTCAGAAGGCAGTTCAGAAAGGACCTGCTTTCCCAGAAGTGTCTCCTGAGAAGTGACTTTTGAAAGGGGCTTTCCCAGTGCCTGTCTGGGTGCCAGTTGAGACAGCCAGATTTTTGGCCTTTGCTGTTCCTTGATGCTCCATAACAGCTCACCTGGCATCAAATCATGATCAAACCATTGGTCAGATTGTAGGAAAACAGATAGAAAGTAACTGCAATTTAGGTATCTGACAAGGAAATATTTTTTTGTTTCTTTATTAGTTGTTTTACAGAAAAACATAGATAGAAGCCTTAGCTGAAATCAGGGATCTGATGCTCTAGTGACTGTAAGGAAACACTTCCCAAACAGCTACACTCTAAGTGAGGAAAGCAGGCAAAGGATGAAGAAAGGAAGGATTCTTTTTCTTCTTCTTTTAACAGGGATTGAACTAACAAGTGAGTTGACTGGGGTGAAAGAAGTTTTTGGCAGAGCCACGAATGCCCCCTGTCTCTCTCCTTTCTTTCCTAGCATCAGAATCATCCTATTTTTCCTGATTTATAATCAGGCATTTGCTAAAGCAAATAAAAATGATAATTCTGCTGCATTGTATCTACAGATCGCCCAGGCCTTGTTTGCGTCGAGAGAATAGAAAAGTGTCAAGAGGGTTTCCTCCTGGCGTTCGAACACTACATTAATTACAGAAAACACCATGTTGCACACTTTTGGCCAAAACTGCTGATGAAAGTGACAGACCTGCGAATGATCGGAGCCTGCCATGCCAGCCGCTTCCTGCACATGAAGGTGGAGTGCCCCACAGAACTGTTCCCTCCGTTGTTCCTGGAAGTGTTTGAGGATTAGAGAGACTCAAGTGGTTCTCTACACCCCCGTCGCACTACTGGCTGTCATTTCATCCCGTTGCCCAGCTCTTCTCACCTGTTTGGTCTTCTTCTTTCGTGGTCTTCTGTTTCTTGAGACGGGGCTGGGGTTTTGTTTGGGGTTTCTTTCGGGGTTACTGGGGGGCAATTGTATACACATGGATGAAAACATCCCTTTAATGCGGGTACTTGTGACTATTGCAATTTGTTCTTCAGTCTTTTGATGTGAGTGCTTTGACAGCTTAACAGTGAAAATAAGAACAGACCAATCTCATTCACCAGCATTTGTGTGGTCACCAGCTCACACCCATTATTGCCTGGAAAACAGGGGAGAGAGATTGAAGTGGCAGAAAAATAAACTTGCCTTCAGGATAAAACAGCTGTTAATTTGACACTGACAATTCTGTCTTGTATTACCTCCTTTTGCAGGGTACAACTGACCAAATCATAATATGAAATTTCTGGTCTTTGTGATTGTTTCTATTGTAACAATTACCACTATGATTTAGGATCTTCATCATCATCATGTTCCCATCATTCTCTGATGCAGTTGCAGATGAGTTTAACTGTGCCCCATAAATCAAGTACTTAAAATAATGTGGAGTGTTAGAAGGGACTGAGTGGTTTTTTTTCCATGTGTATAAGATATTAACATCTTCAGTTACTAAATTTGGACTCCAGGTAAACTTCACTGGAAGATTTGTTGGAGTGAGGAAGGAAATTTGATCTGAGTTGCTTCTCCTGATAGTGGAGGGGTCTGTTTTTTCTGAGGTGTGTGGAAAATCCATCACTCTGAGGGAGAAGGCTCTCTATCAGGATAGCAGGCAGTGTCTCAGAGTTATTCAGGGATATGAGGGCTCCTATAGAATGAGGATAAGGAGAGTGAAACATATAGGGTGATCTTCAGATGGGACAGAAACCAACTATGTTATTAACAACAGTCAAGACTGTAGAGCTTTATCCCAGTAATACAGATAGTGTTGCTCAGCAGTAATTCTTTGTTTTATATATATATATATATATAAAGTTTATATGCACATATATATATATAATTTTATATATATATAATTACAAATCTTCAGCAGATGTCTTAAACATATTTCCATATTTTTATCTTCTCTCTCTCTCTTTTTCTCTGACTCTACCCTGTGTGTGTGTGCGTGAATCAGCTGAGTTCTCCCTTCCTACAGGTGTGTCTGTATGTGTTTCATTAGGCTAGATGCTCTCTTGATTCCTTTAATTTATTTCCACTAACTGCACTAGCAGGAACCAAACTGAGCAATGACAAAATGTCCTGCTGCCGAAGTCTGCAAGCCAGTTCTCACAGTCCTGAAATGTTTGGAGGCCAGTGATGAGGACATTGTAGGTAGAGGTTCCTCTCTGTCACCATCTCCATTCAGGGATGCTGTCCCTGGGTTTTATAAACTTGATATTAAACCATCCTCTGAATTTGTATGACACATCTAAAACATCTTTCTGTTCTTCCTGGGCACCAGAGACTTAGTTCATGTTTTTTGCACTGCCTCATGCCCTATTCTTTCATGTTGTGCATTGATTTGTACCAGTTTCTTTCTCTGCTATTTATTGACCCATTTGCCTGGCAAATTGTTAGACTGGATGTGTTGGCTTTCAAAGCTCATGGCCCATATCTGAACCCATATCTTATGTGTTTATCCCCTCATAAAAACAGGATACTCAGGAAAACTTGTAGATGGGACATGATTTATGTGTGTCAGGAGTTAAATTCTTTCTACCCTTCTTTCTCTACATCATTGATAAAGCATTTAGAGTGATACTGGGCATGTTGTTAGGGATGTGGAATCTTGTTCTCCCTGTTGTTTGATATCATATGCACCTGTGATGTGCTATGAGCACTAATGTCATCACTTAGGGGTTTTTTTGTCAGAACATGAAACACATTGGGGCGCTTAGGAGTGCTTTTGCAGCTAGCTGTGAAGACACACCATTGGAGATTAATTCTTAAATATTTGGTGTAGAACCTCTTTTATTGGCTGTGTTGGCTCCATCTTAAAGCATGTATCTAAACAACATCTCTATTCAAATTCCTTGTAGAGCACAGTCCTGGGGACAAAGAGTCAGAAACTGGCTTTTTGGATAGGTGATTTGGGGTGACTTGATGGAGGACTTAAAGCATGTAATAGAGAACTCAGAAAAGCAGCTGATCCCATACTTACATTGATGGCTTCACAATCTAGAAACAAAACAACACACTTTTGAGACAATATTAATATAGCAAGGAATATAAAAGCAGAATTAGAGGCCTCCAGGTGTGAATATGGCAACATGTACACATGATATGGGACTTCTACAATTTTATAAGTTTTATAAATTCTACAATTTTTATAAGTTTAACAAATTAGCATTTTTAACAATAATGTCCAATTCGAAGAGCATTTATTTAAGTAATCCCCCCCTTTTGGTTCTGCCCAACCAAACCAAGTGGTTTGGAGCCACTCTGAGTTTCTAGCCCCATATTTATTATGTCTAGGATACATGGTAAAAGGAAATAAGACTCCATTTAATCCTTGGCTTAATACTTTTTAATCCTTGGCTAAAGAGGCAAGACTAAATAATATTTCAGGAATGTAGCATAATATGTCCTAGAAGGTTATCTTATTGGTCTAAAATGTAGGGGAAAAGGGACAGGAAAAGTACTGGGAGCTACAGCCATGTATTAAAAATCTACAAAGCTACAAATCTATGACAAATATATGAAAAGCTTAGGCATCAGTGCCTGTGCCCACAGTGACTTGCAAAGAAAAGAGAAATGTGTGTGTCTTTTGAAGCTCTGTTCTGCCATGGATCTGAGCATGAAATTCCTTCTGAAGCCAGTGCAAGTACCTCACCTTTTTGCTTAATGTGAGCTCGAGTAGGCATTCAAGCTTTTGACTGTGTTGCAGGTGAGACCCAGGAGAGGAAGCATCACATCTCTTCTTGTTCCAAAATACCAATGCAGATTGGAGCTGTGCTTAGTCAGGGTTCAGAAAAATCAGGCCTCCTTCCGTAGGTGATTGCAGATGGACTGAAGTGCCTAAATTCAGGCAACCGACTTAGACAGTTCTGGCAGTGCTCTAAGCAGAAAGGACATACATCAATATATTTTTCTAGCTTTTCAGGTTAAGTTGGAGTCTAGTAGTAACTAACAGACTGAGTTAGTAGTATTCCCTATCTGAAAATTAAGGCCAAGCTCGTAGTTGGACAGATCTGATGTACTGACATCTAATGGCCTCTGATCTCCTACCAGTCTTACTTTGTGTCACTTCCTTTACTTCCTCAGTACAAACTGCTGAGTTATGTGATCGTGAGAGCAAAACTAACTGACCTTAGCTCTGCAAAGATGTACTTCTAAATATCAGTGGTCTCAAGCCATTGAGGGACCACCTCAGTGGCAGACACCAGTGCCACAGGCAGCACCCTTTGTAGTAACTCCTGAGTGAAATAACAAACTTGTGCTTTCCAGTGCAGTCCAGAGTCTTGTTTCTGCTGGTGCCACATGGCTCTTTTGTTTGCTTTGTGGTCCACATGTGGGTCTTACACAGAAGGTTTTTTCTGTCAAACCTGATTGTCACCATTCATGGTATTTCCCTGAGTAACATGTGCATTTAGATACTCATTTCATGTGTAATCTCAGTTAAGTTGTGATATTTATTATAACATATATAGTGCGTGCTAATGATTTTTGTTTACATTCTGCCAAAATGTAGACGTTAGAGTTAGACCTCCCAGGTCCAAAATCATCCTTGAGCAGACTGCTTGCTTCTTCAGAGGCAGGTATTAGAAAGAGAAAAAAAACTGTCCAGAAAGACCATTTATATCAGAAATCTGCCAAGAGAGGGCTGTTAATCACAAGCAGAGCATGTCATTGCTAGTGATGTATTTTTATGCTATGGAACTCTAATCTGTATGTGTCATATTGACTTCTTGCTGCATGAATCATAAATTTTAAAAATCAGTCTTATGGTTTTGAGATGTAGCCAGCATTCCTAAGGCTAAACCTTTTTCATTGACAGAATCAAAATCCACAACCAAGGAAGGTTTTCCTCTCACTGTGAGAGCAATTGAAAGTGTTCAACATTTATCTTTTCACAAAGGAAGAGGCAACAGAACCTCTTAATGTGTCTTGTTATTGTGATCATCTGGAAATGATTGCCAGACGTTTCCTTTTGATATAGTAATGAAGTGATCTGTATTTGAATTTTATAGAGAGAATTTTATTCTAGTGTGATAGAGATTTATTTTCCACTTAAAGACTCAAAATGGTATGAGAACATTTTTGGTTTTGTTTTTTTTTACTATGGTATATTTTTGCTTTAAAATTAAAAACAAAACAAAAAAAGGTTTGGCCTTATCACAAAGTTTTAGTATAGATGTTAGCAAATGCAAAGAGTATGCATTATTTGTGTGTATCCACATTGACTGATGTCGCCTTCAAAAAGCAATATTGTGCAGGTAAATAAGTTGTTTGTGACTGTCCATTGCACAGTTTACCTTCTTTAAAAGCTAACCTTGTTTATGCACAAGACAATCAAATGTAAATCTACATCAGCACCCAGGTGTGGATTAAATTTATGTAAATTACTGAGCACAATGTAAAACATTAAAAGACACTTTATTTAATTACACATTTAATGTTGGTAAAGATAGTATCAGGGCATGAACTAGCTGACATACTGTAATTTCTTTTTCTCTTTTTCTACTTCCTTAGCACTCTACAATTTCAGTTTGCTCATAAATACATCAAATTAGTCATTCATAATTTTTTTAAAGAGGAGGGTGGTTTGGGTTGTTTATTTGTTTTTATGAAATTGGTTGGGAGGACTTTCTACTTTGTCTGTGAGGTTTGTGGGTTTTGCTTATTTGTTTTATTTTTTTATATCAGTTTCATGCCCTGAGGGTAAGGCAAACATTACACCGTACAGTAAAAAACAAAGTACCTTGGATGATGTATTTTTTTGCAAACAGTGTTAAGAGTTATGCTAGATTGGTAATATTTTTTCAGCCTAAAATATATTAAAAAAAAAAAATCTGTGATCACAAATGTTTTAAACTATCTAAAGAGAAAATTTGTATATTTGGGGAAGAAAATAATTTTTACATAGCTTTTGTATGCAGATATTAAAATGTAATTATGAATATAGTGGGCATAGATAACTGTGTAAGCTTGAATTCTAAAAAAGAAAAAGCTTATAACTGAAAAGTGGTCCTGGTGTCTCTGTCTCTTTGTTGCAGGATCTTTTGTCAGCTCTGTCTCACACTTCCAAGCCACTGGAATGGGAAAAGTAAGACCTAGAGCACAATGTTTTATCAGCTCTAACCGGTTCACATTTCTGTGCTTCTGCATCCCTTTCATCACCTACCTCATATCTTATCTCCTCTCCTCCATTCCCTTGGGCAGCCAACCAAAGGTTTTCACTTCCTCACTCTTCACAGCAGCCAGCCTTAATTTACTCCAGTGAACCGACTCTTGATTTATGTCTCACTCAATTACATTTTTTAAGGGAACGCCCTTTTTTTCCTTCTCCACTCCCAGTCTAAATAGGGATGGTGTGACAGGAGCAATAAGCTTCCCATCTTTTCATACTTTCCGTACCTTGGTCTCCTACCTATTGGAGAAGATCTCATTCAAACATTTTCTCTAGTCTTACTTTCCATTGCAGTTCTGATTTCTCCTCTAGTTCTTTCACTCCCTCCTGGAAGAAGCCAGGCCTATTGCCTGGAGCCAAAACAATTTTTTGGCCTGTCCCAGATGGCAAACCTGTTTTGGGCTCTTGCTTCACAGTGATTCCCACAGGCATTTCCTGGCTGGCTGCCAGCTCCTGCTCCTGGTCCCCTTCCACAGGAGGTGCTGGCAGCTTCCCGAGGGATGCTGAGCTCCCTCAGCTCCCTCTGTCTGCACCCCTGGGAGCACATTCCTGACACCGGCCTTCCTGTGCCTGGCGAGTGCTGTGGCAGCACCTGCAGGGTTTGTTCCCCCCGTGGCCTGTGGGAAGAGGGGCTGCCTTCAAAGGCAGGAGCTGTATGTGAGGAGCCAGAGGGAAAGCGTGAAATCCCTGCTGTGCCTTAAATGGAATCCCTTCAAGCTCTCCAGTTCAGGTGCCTGCGTGGGGAAGCCTTGCCAAAGCCTCTGCTGGGTTAGCACCAAGCGAGCAGCAACATGGATTGCTTTGGCCCCCCAGGACCAGCTCTGGAGTGAGGAATTAATCTGGTGTGTAAAAACTTGTTTACTGGATGTGAAGAAATAGTTCTGCTCCCACAGATGCCAGTGCTCTGGGTATAACATTTTCAGGCTTCATTTGTAGTGGTGAAATCTGTTTTTCAAAAGGTAGTGTGGTATCTGTGGATTCTGAGAGCCACATGAATTTGCTTCAGTACATGTTTATCGCTGTTTATCACTGCAGAGAACAACATAAGAGATGGTAGCTCTTCCCCTGGAGCTCTGGCACTAAAGCAGGAGTGTGTTTTTGCCCTGTGGGCTGCCTCTTGCACCCTGAGCCTGTTGGTGAACACATGTGCAGCTTGTTTGCCCACTTGGTGACAGTGCATGAGGGTTTTCCATCTTTGAAAACTGAGCCATGTCTGAAGGATTTTCTCTGTGAACTTGAGAGTCTAACAACAAACAAATGTGTGTCATACTCATGGTCACGTGTGCTGTGTGGTATTCCCCATAGCATCAGTAGTTCCAAAATGAAAATTTGCATATTAAAAGTGACTGCAAACACATCACCTTTGAAGTAAGTAAAAGGGTATGTACAAAAGTCCCTCCATTCTGTTTTATCGTATTGCAGCCCTCCTTACTGTTTACCAGGTAGAGAAAACTCCTTTCCAGACTGAATCACAGAGAATCTCTCCTCTCATGCCCATGCCTGGTGGAAGCACTGACCCTGCAGGTGCTGCCACAAGCTGCCTCAGTACGCACAATGATATGCCTGAAGTCCCTTAGAAAAACTAGAAAAAAAACAGAGGAAGCTCCTTTGTGTCATTTGAGAGAGCTTTGAGGCTGCTAAGGTCAAGGAATAATGAAAGGTTTGTGGGGTCTCTGAGTCAGAGGTCCCTAAGGGAGAAATTAAATGCCTCCTGGGTCATCCTGACCTTGTGGTGCCTTGAAAAATTACAAACTTGGAAAAGTGGTCTGACCTCTGTACCCTGCTGTGCAGAGCTGGAGTGGAACCTACAGGGAAAACAAGACAATCCTTAGTGGATTGTATTTGGAAACACAGTGTAAAAAAGTAGAGAAGGACATCAGCAAATCAAAAGAAAACCCAGAATGAGTCCTTTTCTGAATTTCATTGGAATTTGAATTTGCAAAAGGCTGGCTGAGTGAGTATGGGGGTAGCTTCAAGCAGTGTTTCTCTGAACAGAAATATTCTAGTTACAAGAAATAAAAGAAGTTTTGCAAAATCCAAACACAAGCCATATTTAAAGGGGAAAAAAATGTGTTATATGTGGCTGCAAGGTCTTTGGTATTTCCTTGCTCAGAAATAGGAACAAAAAGGGGAAGAAGTCTTTGCTGGGATAACCATAGAGGCAGAGAGCTTCACTGCCTGATGTAATGTTTAAAATGGAAAGGAAAGCTGGGTCATGTCTTTGTGTGCATATAAAGTTGCAACAGGAGTTGGTTAGGGCTGAAAACATGTCCCAAGTAAAATCACAAAGAGAGAGAGAGAGAGAGAGAGGGAGGGAGGGAGGGAGGGAGTCAGATAATGACAGAAGGTGAAATCCAGGAGGTGGTTTAGTGAAGTTGTTCCTTGCTCCAGTAAAGTGTAGGAGGGTTCACAGGTATTGTCTGTTGCTTTCACAAAAGGCACAAGGAAGTGTTTGGCACCTGAGACAGAAACATAACCCACAAGTTAAAACCAGCCCTTCTTGGTGAAGTGGGTCAGAACCCATGACTGTGAGGAGCAGAGAGCCTGCAAGAGGCATAACCATGAACCTCCCAGAGGACTGAGTCAGGGAGGAGCTGGAAACGTCTAACTCAATGTGACTGTGTTGCCAGAAGTTCCTCTATTTCTTCTGGGCAGGAAATCCAGACTCAGAGGGATCTGACAGACATTAGGTACCAGTGCCTTAAAGCCTCCATGATGAGGTGGGATAACCTGGATGTCTTCTTGCCCTCCCACTGCTGTGCTCCCCTCTTGCCTAGGGAACAAGTGTGGTGGCTTTGCCTGGCTGCTCTGTGACTGTGGTGGGAAATTTTTCAGACTTCCCAAAAAATGGTGGGGCAAGCAGGGTAAGTTCTTCTCCTGAATGCCAGAGCACACACCAAAACTGCTGACCTCTCCCTCTTGCCAAAGTGAGCTCCTTGCTCTCTGTGCCCACAATCCTGGCTCTAGCCCTGAGACTCCCACATGGAGTGAAACAGCTGAGCACGCTCTGAGCTGGCTCAGCTGGGACCCTTGGAGGTGAAGCCTGCCTTTGTGACTGCCTGGACAGTGAACAAGGCACTTTTCCATTCAGTCAGTGCCTGCTTTGTCTATCGTGTGTTGATCACCTCAGTCCTAGACACTGTTCTCTTCCAGAGGGAACAGAGAGCCCTCCCAGAGCTCCCACTAATGGCCTGTGAAGCAGGTCCTGACATCCATCCAGCATTCCAGAGCAGCATGTGTGGAGAAGGAATGTACCCAGAGGCATGAGACTCCTCTGGAAGTCCTGCAGACACCAGACATGGGATGAATGACACCAGAACAGACTTCTACTCACCAGGTTCTGAGCTACAGAGATGGAGTGATGGTCACAAAGGTCTGCCTGGAGGAAATGGGTGGTGACAACAGGGACAGATCTGTGGCCTCCAAAGCCTGTTGCAAAGCTCAGGAGCAGAGTACTCTCTGACAGAACTCTGTAGTGATAAAATACTCATCTGTTGGTTCTAAAATCCCAATATTCACTTGTTTGTTCTCATCAGAAGTATCCTGTCACTGGAGTTATAAGTTTGCATTGCTGCCAGGGCCCAAGGGAAAACTGAGGTTATGAGGGGAGGAAGTTCTTCCATCCAGAAACACAGGGGGTTGAGCTCCCTGCAGACTGTGACTCTGCATATGATCAACTTTGCACTCTACACAGGGCTAAAAAGCAAAACAAGGCCAAGCCATTTCCTGGCTATATCCCTAAAGCCCTGTGTTCAAAAGGAGGTGCTAATTGCCCTTTAAATCAAAGGTTCTCTGGGCCAGTTCCATTTTGGGAGCCAAGGATGGCTTCAAGTCCTTGGCTGCCCTGTGCTGAGAGCAAGGGAACACACCGGGCTGGGAATACCCATGGTGAAATCAGCACATGCCTCGAGCAGCTGCCAGGCACACAGCCCTGTGAGCCTGGAGCTGCTGGAACTGCACTCCAGCTCCAGCTCCAGCACCAGGGCTTGGCTGCTGGTCTGAACCCAGGGCAGAAAAGGACCCAGAGCCCACTTGGGGTGTGAGGTGTGAGATTCTCCTTAATTTCATTTTTATCTCAAGTTCTCTTAAAGAAATCAGCAATGAAACTAAGGGATCGCCTAATGCTAATGATGGCTTGTCACATTTCTA